ACTACAGAGTTGCAGAAGACCGTGTCACTCGCTGGAAGGATGCGACAATCCTTTTCAAAACGGGGATATCGCCAAAGCTACTGGCCTTTTCTGTATTTCAGGGGGGAGCTTCTTGTAGGGCAGAGGAAGGCCCGCACGGACTTCTAACAAGGTCGCGTCGGACGGGATAGAGTATTGAAGCATCGGCATCGGTGATACGTTTTGAGCTCGCAGTGGTCCGCATCATCCTGCTAATCCCAACGGTTGTATTTTCCTCCTCCTCCTCACCACCACCACCACCAAAACCACCATCATCATCACCACCAGCAACATCAACATCATCATCATGATCACCATCATCATCAGCACCATCATCCTCATCACCATCATCACCATCCGCATCAACATCACCATCATCATCATCACCATCATCATCAAACTCCTCGCAGTCTGGCTTTGCACGCCGCCAGGCTTGGACGCGTCGGCCATCGACACTCTCGCTGTCGAGGCCGAAACACGCCCAGTCCAGCAAGGCATGAGGCATGAGGGTGCAAACCCGACTTGCCTCGCTGATGTTATGGCGGGGGGCTATGCTCAGAGGAGGCTGCAGCACCGTTCAACGATGCATTGCCAACCAAACCAGCAGGGTGGAACCTTTCTTTTTCTACGTGCACTTCAACTTTGGCTCCCGCGTCAACTGCCGATGCTGCACCGCGAAGCGCCTCCGGGCCAGTTCACCCGACTCGGATTTTCCGTTCGCACGGGTGTCCCCCCTGTCTTGCCCTGTTTTGTTTTGTCCTGCCCTCCCCGTCGGTCTGGCCTCCCCTCCCTGCTGCTGTTGTTGTTCCCCCCGTTCGGCCCAGGGGATATCAAATTCCTCGCAGTCTGGCGCTGCACGCCGCCAGGCTTGGACGCGTCGGCCACCGCCACTGTCGCTGTCGCCGTCACCCGAATGGGTGGCACTGACGAGGGGGTGACGGCGGCAGTGGCAGTGCCGAAACGCGGCCAGTGTCCAGCAAGGCATGAAGGTGCAAACCCGACTTGTCTGGCTGATGCTCTGGGGGGGGGGCATGTGCTCAGGGGGGGCTGCAGCACCGCCCAACGATGTGCTGTCAACCAAACCTGCAAGGTGGGCCCTTTTCGATTTCTCCGTGCACTTCAGCTTTGGTTTCGGCTTCAGCTGCCGATGCACCGCGAAGCGCAGTCGGGCCAGCTCACCCGAGTCGGATTTTTCGTTCGCGCGGGTGCTCCCCTCCCCCTCTATCAGCAGCAGCAGTAGCAGCATCGTCGTCGTGGTCACCATCACCACCACCACCACCACGACCACCACCAACACCATCTTAATCATCACCATCATCATCACCGTCATCACCATAATCGTTACCAGCAGCAGCACCATCATCACCATCATCAGCAACGTGGGCATCATCATTGTCGTCGTTGGCATCATCGCAAGCATCATCCGCATCATCATCAGCAGCAGCAGCATCATCACCATGATCAACAACCACAAAAACAGCAACAGCAATAGCAACGACAACGACAACAACAACGACGACAACAACAACGCCAACAACAACGACAGCGATAACGACGACAACAACAATCACTTTAAGACTGTTCGTTCTTCCCTGCTCGCGTGCCAGTCAACACGGACATCCTAAACCCTCGATACCCGCCCCCGTCGTCTTCGATCGTACCCTCTTCGGGGTGTATCTTTCTTACCTGCAACGTGTGCATTTCGTGCAGCACCTAAGGCAGTTAAAAAGAGGACGGATGGAAGGAAGGGAGAGGGGGGGAGGAAAATGGAGCACGAACGAAAAGAGCACGAGGGGGACTAGGAGCAGAAAACACGTGACAAGACCAGACGGGCAGATTGGGCGGGTAGACCCTAACGGGCGGGTCAGGAAGGCGGGCCTGGACGGCCAGGTTGAGCAGGAAGGTTGCTAAAGCGTGCGTCCTGAATGAGTCGCGAGGAAGTCTCGAGCGATAGCGATGTTCCCGAATAATCTTGAAGAAATCCATAGCGAGAGCGTGATTCCTGTGTCGAGGGCGCGGCGTCTGAATAAACTGCAAGGATGTCCCACGCGAAAGAATGACTTCTGAATGAAATTATGAGGAAGTCCCTCACGAGAGCACGATTTGGGAATAAATTGTCCGGAAATATCTGGCGGGAGCCGTTGTTGTTGTAAACCGGGAGCCAAAATTCGCCAGGAAGTCTCGGGCGAGAGCGCGACTCCTGAGTAAAATACGAGGAACTCCCACGCGGGAGCGCGATTCCTGAATGGCGACGGCGTGGCTCCTGAATATACTGTGACGTCCCACGCGAGACAGCGATTCCGGTATCAATTGTGAGGAGGTCCCGCGCGAGAGCGCGATCCCTCGGTAAATTGCGACGAAGTATCCGGCGGGAGCCGTTCTTGCTGTAGTCCGGGACCAACAAAGCGGTTTGAGGAGGAAGACTTTCCCTGATAAAAGGGTGCGAGCCCCAGGAGGGGCCCTTCAATCGAAAAAACACAAC